TATTGGAGAGTCATCCCAACTTGACAAACTTAACTGTTATCTCTGTGATTTCACCAGCGTGGTTGCCAGAGTTGCGACCTATCCCAATCACGATCGCCAAACAGTTGATGGTAATAACGCTTTGTACATTCCTATCAATGTGCTCGTCGAAGCTGACCATCCATCAAGTTGACGAAAGAAGTAAAAAGCAACCGGTGAATGTCGTCTTCTGTTGTGATCCATCACCGATCTGGTCATTCCCGACAATCACGACACTCAGCTGTGCTCGTTTTGAAGCAGTTGCTGCTTTGTTTGCTTATTTGAGTGTGTTGGTGAGTGAGCCCAACAGCTTCCGTTTCAAGTTGCCTGCTTTGTTTGTAACTCACACAGTCGCACCTGCCGAGACGAACTTGGAATGCGCAGGCATTGTTTTCATTTTCTTCTGTCGCTTCGCTTTTTCTCATCATCGTTCTGCAGAAGTATTCACTGTTTTCGTTGTGCTTTATATCATCAGCAGCGAGTGTAACGTTTTGCTTGTGAGCAGCGACCATTACTGGTGATTGTTGTTTGCCATAGCTCTAACTCTCAGAGCGTGACAAAACTATCTGTCAGCGATAGTCGGTTGATGCGAAGACGAGTGTCACGCGAGTGTCATGATATTTTGCATCACTGGCTGGTTGCAGGTAAAGGTGGAATACGAGCTCTGGTGCCGGACATCCATAAATATTAACAAGAATTTTAAGGCATTTGGGCTGCTTGATAAATGTGACTCGACGTATTTTCCAACTATCAATGTTTTGTTGAAGATTTTGTTGACACTACCGGTCACTACAGCGAGTGTGGAAAGATCTTTCTCCACACTGAAACGAATTAAAACTAATGGGAAACCAGCGACTTTCGGGCTTGGCTATAATATCAACTGTATAACAGTTTAACTGCTTAGAGTAAAGCTAGAAGATAACTTTTGTAATAACCAGGTATAATGTCCAGGATATGGCTCTACGTTGTGTTTAATTTATTGTTCAGATTTTTGGACAGCAGTTTGGAGATCAGCAACTGATTCAAATGAAGTAAAAGAATACATTTCTCATTCACTATTTATTATCCGAAGTCAAATTCAAACTTAATCTAATTGCATTAAATAATTGCACTTATACAGCTAACTAGAACAATTCAAAATATCACAGAATAACGATCAATTCAAAAACAAAACAAAAATACAGTGATGCTAAAACAAAAACTTAAACATACAGAATGATGAAGGCAACAATATTCCCTGTTCGTGTTTCGTGTGGATCACATTGCTACCACTGCATCGAGGGATGTTTGTTATTTACCGCCTTCATAAATTTAAATGAATTAGGATCCGGTGCCGGTGATTTTACGATTTAACGCCATTAAAATCTTAAAATAATTATGTTTTAAAAAATATGTAACAAATTTTTGTCTTTCTTAACAGAATGCAAATCTTGATCATCATTACCAACAGAAAACAATTAAAACTGCAAATATTTTCTTGAATTTCATACATTTGCTTAACTTTTCTCATAACTGCGTATTAAAGAGTTTGAAAAATTATTATTATTGGTTCATTAAAAATTCCGATCAAATATTAAAACGAATTAAAAAAAAAAAAAAAAAATATGACACATGATTTTGAACGATTCTGGTTAGGTAAAATAACTGCGGGTAAAAACAGTGTATCAATCGATGTTCAGTTAGGCGCACATTTTATAAATCATTGAAGTTTTTATGTCATAAAATTAGCTCCCCCCGAAACCAAATGCTGGCTACGGGCCTGGGTCTTGTACTAAAGTGACTGTAATAAACAAACCTTTCGAGGTCAAACAAAATCAAATTACAAGAATTTTCATAAGTCTAATTTCAAGCGCAAAATTTATTTTGAAGGAATTAAAAAAATCAAAATCGGAACGAAAAAAAAAAAAAGATTAGCTGGTTTGTGATTTTGAAAATTTGGAAAATGAGGAATTTATGAAACCAATTCTATGAGTGCGATTATAATGATATTCCGCAGGCATTGATATATTATATTACAAAGGATCTTTTTAACTTTTCGCTGTCCGAGATTTCGATTTTGGGAAATATTTTGTTTTTACGATCAAGAAAAATTCTGGAATCTTGAATATTTTTATAGATTCAGATCAAATAATCCGGGGTTAAAAATAGCCTTTAAATCCACGCCAAATGACCAATCGATCAGTCGTGACCTTCACAGATTTGCATGCCACTTTGCATAATTGCTTGTTATGGGTAATCATTAACATTTGATCGAAAATTTGGTCATATTACATCTTTAGTGTTTTTCAATAGTTAAAATTTTAAATGACCATTACGCGTAAGAAATCCCTAAAATCGACAAATTTTATATTTTATATTTAAATTAGAATAACTGAACAAAGTATGTGTAAGTTCGTAATACAGTTGCCAACTTTTGGAATTTTCACTGATTTTTAAACTCTTAACGAGCAGTTCCATAGTTAAAAAAGTACCAAACAGTGGAGGCCTGGATAAGTGTGCATAACTGCATAATGCATTAAATGCTTTTGCCAGATAAGTACAATACTTCGACTTCCCAAAGAAGATTAATCCAACTCCAATGGGAATCTGATTGATTGATGAACTATAACTGATACGTATTTCGTTTACAACTTGAAAACATCTTCAGTTAAGTCTAGTGCTTTTCAGACTTAAAGAAAAAGCATAGCACATTATAAGGAATAGAAGTAATGTTTTTACTTTAAGTCTGTTACTAGACACTGAAAAAGTTTGCAAGAAGTAAACGAAATATAGTGTAGTGCGAAATTGAGCGTACACCTTATTTGTACATTTTTTAAACATTCTGAATAGATATATTTTTTTAAATCTTGGCCGGTGGTTAAACAGATGTTTATAATGAAGAGGTTTGAGTGTGTTGGTTTATTTCCTTTTAATTTCGTTATAATTGCTTAGCTTATCTCTTCTAGGTATCTACGTCAAAATTTATTGAAATTTCGTAAAGATACGGGAATTTGAATTTGGGTTCAAATTTATCCCAGAGTACAGACAACATAAGTTTTTCAATAATTTTTTCAAAGAAATATTTGTGCAAGTGTTTTGGAGCAGATTTGATCTAGTGTTTCAGGTTTGTAGTGGACTCACCTAGTGATGAAAGAAATGAGTAAATTTAATATAAACATAAAAAAGTTTCAGTCTCTCAAAGTGGCCTGGTGTTGACTCCAAGGTACCGACAAAGGGTTAAGAAAGATCTCCGAGAAGTTTCTTCAGAAAGAAGTTCTTCTGTTTTTGTATGCGTATTATGACTTTCTCTAGAAGTTACTTTGACCCCCTGAAGCTTCTTCCGACTTCTTTTGAAAGTTACTTTCAGCATACACCGGAAGATTTCTTTCATATATCCCTCGAAAGATTCTTCCGAATTTTCCAAAGGAATCTTTTTCATCTTTGGAAGTATCTTTCAAATAGTTTTCCAGGTTCATGTTGAAGTTTCTTATGGCTTAAACCAACCATAAGTAATAAGTAATTTTCCCAGATATTTCAATTTATCTTCCTACGAATGGTTCTTGCTATTTTCCGCGGAATTTTCATCTAACTTCCCTATTTCTTCTGTTTTTCCCCGGTAGCTTCTTCTGGCGTCCCTAGATTTTTTTTGGTGTCTCGTGAGTATCTTTTTATTTCCCCTGGAATTTTCATCCGACTTCTTCTAGAAACTTTAAATGTTTAAAAGAAATGTAAATTTCAAATATTTTGTGGTTTGGTCTTTTTTTTATTTTACAGTGAAAATGTGTGCTTAGCGTGCCTTGTGTAAAAAATAACTGTTTCCGGGGAAAAATATTCAAATTCCCGGGAACCGGTGTAGGAACTTCATTTCCTCCTGGGGATAATAGGTCCATTTCCACAATAAATTTAACTTTCGGCATCAAGATATCTTATAAAATGCTATCGACTGCAGCACTAGATCACCGAAACTTATCCAACTGTGCAGTCACCAAGCCATCAAATGAGCCGTTCATACAACGTTTCGGTATGCATTACATCATTTTCAGATAATTCTATAAGCGAGTCATTGGCAGGCATGGAAAATCATTTGCATTCATTTCGTGCATTCATTTACATTCATTTGCCCTTAACTTTTTTCATCAACAGAATTTCACAAAATGATGTATAGAGCGTTTGTAGGTTTTGTTAATAGATACAACTTTTGTTAACAACTCAAATCCGTATCTCTTATGTATGACGAACCAGAGCGAACTGAAGCCACTACTGTTTTTCAGTGAATGTATTTTACATTCACTGAAAAACAGTAACAAATTCTGCCCGCTCTAATTCGTGATGAGTGATACAGATTTGCGTTATGGTCAAAAGTTGTAGCTAATAATAAAACCTACTAAAGTTCAATATGTATATGATTTTGAGGATTGTTGTTGATAGAAAAAGTTAGAGGCAAATGAATGTAAATGATTGCATGAAATGAATGTAAATGATTTTCCATGCCTGGTCATTGGTAAGTGAAAATTTTCAAAAGCCACATAAAATTATCATGTACTAGCTGAGTGTGCCCGGCCTTGCTCGGGATTCAATATTAGCTTGAGTTTATGTGCCAATTAAATAAAAAAGTATTCTATATTGTACGTAGCCCCCTCTTATCTAAGGGGCTACTCCTTATGACCTCCACATGCCAAATTTGGTTCCATTTACTTGATTAGTTCTAGAGTTATGCAGAAATTTATGTTTCTTTTGTATGGGAACTCCCCTTTACAGAAGGGGGAGGGGTCTTGAACCATCATAAGAACCTTTCCCTGCCCCAAAAACCCATGCATACAAATTTTCACGCCGATCGGTTCAGTAGTTTCCGAGTCTATAAGGGTCAGACAGACAGAAATTCATTTATATATATATAGGTAGATAGACAGATTTTGATATCGGAGGATTCTGTTCAATACGAATAAACTTTCTGGACTTCTAAAAATGAACCACTCATGTATCATGTGATAATCGCTACATACCTGCCATCGTAGGATAACTAGAATACGCCGCGGCACTTTCCAGCGCATGTGCCGCCTGCTGCTCGTGGTGTAACCTATTCGGGACGGAGTTGGAGAGTTTGCATGAATTTTCCATGTTACCTAATTTACACATTCAGCAGTCATTACCTGGACGTGTGTCCGTACTGCTGGGGTAACCTCAGTAAGCTGCCGTACTGCGCCATGTTGTGATGGTAGGCGTGCGCGTGGGCTGCATGTGCGTGGGCAGCGTGGGCATACGAACCGTAATGGGCCGCATGCCACGGGTCCGTCGAATAGCCTCCGTCGGTCGAGTAGAGGTCGGAAACCTATGAAAAAGAAAATACTTTTCCAACCAAACAAAAAATAGGATTGGTTTAGTCCAAACTACTACTGACCTGATGGTGCGTAGGTGGGGTAGGATGCACGTAGTTGCTATTCCAGAAGGAGGGAGGAAAGTTTCTACTCGACATGGAACTGTAACCTTCTGAAACGAGAGAAACGGAGAAATATGTAAAACGACAGTCATTCGCTTGTTCGGTCGGTTAATGCGGATGGGATCTGACAACTTTTCCACTTTTGATCAGCAACGTGAACCCGAACGAAAGCCGATCATCGGGACAGTGAGTGACATTTTCCAAAAATTTTGTACCCAAACCCCCATTATGTTACCGTTTTTATGTAATCTGTTCCGCTGAAGAAAATGCAGCATAAGTCACGAAATGAAGACAACAGAAAAACAGCAAACCGGCGATCTGTAGTTTCATTTCGTCTGAACCCCCTTTACCCGTCTTTACGGTTTGGTGAAGATTTGTTCCAACCAGCTTCCAGCTGAAAAACCAAAAAAACACCACAAATGCAATAACAATAACATTTAATCGATTTCGGCTTGAGTTGAAAGTGTGCAACTGCGAGAAATCGGGAGCGACTTCAGGTCTACACAGGTATGGGCACTAAGGACTGAGGCGGGTTGATTTCGGGAAAAAGCAGGCTCCTGCTACAAGCCGAAGACGAAAGTAAAACAAAATTCCGACGGAAACAGAAACACAGAGAAATAGAGACTGGCGGCGGGAAAACCTTCCGAGAGCGCGCACGGATTGAAATTGTACGCAAAAAAGGCAGGTGGGGAGCTGGAGGCTTAGTGGGCATATGCACGGTAACATGCCCCGTCGTCGTTGTCGTTGGTCGGTCCCAATAGGTACAAAATTCACGGGAAGGGATTTTGGAGTTCGTAGGATAAAGGTAAAGTTCACCGAGAGCGGCACAGATCAAAGGGGTTGTGTTGCAATTTGGTTGGAATCATGGCGGCTGTTGTCGTGAAAACAGAAGGTGACCGCTTGGTGGGTAGAGTTCGGTGCGGGTATACTGATTTGAACGCACTTTTGCTTAGATGGTGATATAAGGCTCTCTGGGAAACGCGTCCTGTCCGTGCAGCTGCTAGGAAGTTAAAGTTTTGGGTAATTTTTAAGATCCGTTTAACCTTAGTTGGATGGTAAAATTCATAAGGCCTGCGTTCCAAGCTTTATAAATACTCTTAATAAAATCCGTTCCCATATTCGTGAACCAGAACCGTGAACTATAGTTTACGGTATAAATTTCCTTCTACGCACGGACCGGCTCTGGTTCACGAATATGAGAACGCATTATTTTCCTAGTAATAACTGTTGAAATGAATTGTCAATGTTGCTAACTACCGCCTCAAAAAAAAAATTGAATTTGAAGGTTGTGAATAAGAACAGGGTTACTTCCACTCACTTGCTATAAAAAAAATGTTTTTCGGAATTATGAAATCATGAAATAGTATAATGCTAATTAGCTCTTGTAAGTTACAAGAAGAGGTCATGAAGTATATGTTTCACACATAAAATCTGTCAATATTGCTTTTAGTGCGTCACAATCAGCGATTTTACGACTCGTGAGCGCTCACTCTGAGTGAACGCTCACGAATCGTAAGATCGCTGATTGTGACGCTCTGAAAGCGAAATTGACAGGTTTTATGAGTCAAACATATACTTTACACCCTCTTCTTGTAACTTACAAGTGCTAATTAGCATTATACTATTTCATGATTTCATAATTCCGAAAAACATTTTTTTATAGCAAGTGAGTGGAAGTAACCCTGAATAAGAATAACCCCGTTAATCACACTTTATTTGATATTCAAAACTTAAAATGGAGTACGTTAAAACTGGGGATTTAATTGATCATGCAGGTTTTTATGCAATTCAATAATCAGAAGTTAGCCTTTGTACTTGATTTGTGTTTGCTGAACACGAATCATGTGTTTAAATTTCTGCAAAAATTGAAAGTCAGAGCACCCTTTCGAGTTGGCTAACCGATTTGGACACTGGATGTCTTGGACGGTAGTTACATTCAATTATTCCTAATTTTCTTCGAGAGGGTGGTTTAAGGTGATTCTTTGTAGAGTCCACAAATGGCCGCCACGTAGGCTTAAACATGCTCTTCCAATTCGAATTTTCATTCACACAAATCTCGGCAATTAATGCCCCATTACACATGCAATTTGCTACTTCATATATGCTGCAGTACAGCAAACGTGGAGTAACAGTTTCATTGTGGTAGAAGCTGATATTTGTGCACTTAAAGTTTCGAAGTGGAAACGAGAATAACGATCACACAGTGAAACATCTTGAAGACTTGGGATTAAGTCGTGACTTAATTCGTGTGATTCGTGTCTTATGTCCAAACAATAATCGCTAGATGCGCAACTCTATAGAATAAACCTCGTAGACAGTAGCATATGTCGGTGTACAAACGGTTACGATGACATCGATCACGTAGTTTAGCAATCGTCGCTCACCATGCTCAGTCGAACTCTAGACGAAGTTGAATCTAGAAACGTACTACTGTTCATATACTGGCGACAACACTCTTTCAAGACAACGAAACCCCACCCCAAGCTCCTCCCCTGATTCTATCCTTGAAAAATGTACCCCTATAACCTCGGGTAATCCGCAATTATTCGGCCTAAATCCTACTATACATAGACATAAATGAATTTTGTTCCAAACAATGAACAATTATAGGAAACGTTTCAAAAGTTCTGTTGAAAACTACTTAATGAAATATTGAACAAATTATCTTAAGGGGGTATTCCCAATCTTTTGCCTTTTTTCGGCCTGTTTTTCAATTAATTTTTTTTCAAGGAAAATGAATAGTAATGCGCCTAACTCTTTGGGATTCTTGTTTATTGAACATTAAAGTTTACAAATAAATTTTTTTCGACTTAAAAAAAGACATTATTGACGTCACAAAATGGCGGCAAACAGACCCCTGTTCGCCGCAAACGCCTGGACGGGCGAAGACTTTTCTCTGGAACGGCTTCATCTGAAACAGATTTCGTGATGAAATTAATAATCTGATAAGATTCTCTGGAGCTTCTCCCGTTGGCAGCAAAAAATCTTGAAAATTAACAAAATGGCGGCCATATGAAAAAACAGGCGATTTTTAGCCCGCTTTTTTGCAGCTTTAAGGTGCTTCAAACAATGTTAAATGTTAATATTTTTGGCTGAAAGTGGGAGAAGCTCCAAAGAATTTAATAAGGAACAAAATGCGCAAAGATTCAAGTCAATATCTCTTATAGTTTCTGAGAAAAATCTTCGCCCGATAAAAAAAATGTGGTTTCGAGAAAAACGCGTTTAAAGTTTTGACTTTAGTTAAAACCATTTGGGGGTTCTTACCATTAGTCAGCTATGCCTGGACACCGAATTCGCTGATCGGAAAACGGCTTGGGGGGATGAAAGTATATAGTCTAAAGTACAAAAAAACGTGAAAAAAAAAAAATTTGATTTTTTGAAAAAAAAGATCGGGAATACCCCCTTAATGGATCAATAATACGTTAAGCAATAAACATCAAAATGGATAGTTGAGATACGAAAATTAAGCGGTGTGGTGGTTAACTACACCTCAATGATCAATTTCACCTCGTTTTACGGTACCTTGAATTCTATTTTGCGTGCTAAATTTACGTACTAAAGAGAATGGCGCTGGAGTGAAAGGTCACGTACAATCCATCAGGGTCTGATCCGTTGCGGTAAATCTGACAGTTAGACAATAGATGTAGCTGTCACTTTGTCGCAACGAATCAGATCCGAGTGCATTGTTCGCGGCACTTATGAAATAAACTCCAAACCCAGCAACAGTCGGGAACAGCGTTCCCAGATCATTTTCAGAAAAATCTGAACTAGGTAAAATAAAAAATCTGGAAAAATCTGGAATGCTTCAAAAAATCCTCATTTTAACATAATGCTATTGAAATCAAAGTGATGTGACAATCTTCCGTAAAAATAGGTCAGGATGATCATCTGGAATTTATTTAAAGATTTTATTCGTTCTAAACAATTCTATTATTACTCTGAGGTTGATCAGATTTACAATGTAATTCTTGACATCATACAACACACAACGCAGACCAGGCAGGCAATTATTTTGAAGCAAAATTCACCGGGATGAAGTGGGAATCAAAGCCTATAACTCCTATTCGCATGACCATTATGCCAAAGAATACTTTTGTTATATTTCTAAAATGAAAATCTGATAGCTTCATTTTTGAAGTCCTACACGCAAACCAAAAATCTATTACAATAAATGTTAGTTCCGTTTCCTATTTATCATCCTCTGTTCATGAACATCGCAACGAATGTTAGGAGTTGACCATGCAAGCGATGTAATGGTTTTTTGTCTTTTTTTTATTTCGTGTTAACGTGGATATTTCGACTATACCAGTAAGATTGTAGAACGACGCACGTTGTAGAACATTGTAGAACGACGCACACACTTGCCTCGAATGCCTCTATTACAATGAATGTTAGTTCCGTAATGGTTTTTGGTCTTTTTCATTTCGTGTTCTATCTAAGCTTTCGACTATACCAGTAAGCTTGTAGAACGACGCACATTGTAGAACATTGTAGAACGACGCACACACTTGTCTCGAATCTCTCCAGCAGAAAAAGCATACGAAGTCGAGCATTTTTATTTCGTGTTCCATCTACGCTTTCGACTATACCAGTAAGCTTGTAGAACGACGCACATTGTAGAACATTGTAGAACGACGCACACACTTATCTCGAATCTCTCCAGCAGAAAAAGCATACGAAGTCGAGCATGCGAGAAAATGAGCGCTTCATGTTTGCTTTTAGGCTACCCATATTCAGAAGCATGGAAAGAGCAGTGGAGAAAGCGCAGGTCTGATAGTCGCAACGTCCGAGGTTCGAGTCCTGTCGGCAACCTTTTCTATTTTTTTCGACATAATTAATTTCACTCACTAATCACTCCACATTTTTCGGTCTCCAATTTTCTTACATCGGACCGCAGCTAGGTATATCGCATCCTCGGTTCATGCGGTCTCCACTTACATCCTCTGATGATGAATCCCACATAATTGTAAGCGAATCTTACATCCACCGGTTGGGTGTAGGATCTTGCAATGATTCTAAATTCCGGAATTTATATTTTCCCTGCGCCCCA